CTGGGAAGCAATGCAACTCCCCAGGTAGTGATGTAGGTCCCCTTGCAAAGGAGCCAGCCTATGCCTTGCCAGGACTGTTACACTACTGTAGTAACCTAGTCCTAAAAGGGTTGGCATTTGCTCATGAGCTTCCTATGTTAGACTCATGACAAGCTTCATGATGAAACAAAGAATAAAGGTGTCAAAAGTTTGTTCATGGCCTAAATTTCTAAGTTAGCCCTTACCTCTCCTGAACCAATCTCAGCTAACATTCACTCAAGACTTTTTGTTCAATCTTTGGGATCCCAGGATCATAGAGACTAGAAGAGACCTTAGAGGCCATCTAGTTTAACTCCCTCATTTTGTTTGGGTTTTTTGTTTTTTGTTTTTTTGGCTAGGCAATGGGGTTAAGTGACTTGCCCAGGGTCACACAGGTAGTAAGTGTTATATGTCTGAGGCCAGATTTGAACTCAGGTCCTCCTGAATCCAGGGCCTGTGCTCTGTCCACTGCACCACCTAGCTGCCCTCATTAACTCCCTGATTTTGTATGTGAAAAACTGAAACAAAGTAAGTGACTTGTCTAAGGTCACAAGGTCATAAGTGACATGGCTGGGATGGGTTGGTTGCCTTGCATCTATGAGATGGACAAGCAGATGATGGCCAGAAGCTAGGATAGGCACAAATGCAGAACACCTGGAGCCCTTTCTGATGGGCAATGGTTTAGTGATAACACCTCTAGCAAATGGAGTGGAAGATAATTCTCAAACTAACACCTCATTTGAAGAGGAAAGCTGAGTCAGGGAAAGAGTCTGAAAAAAATGGACCACAAGACAAGGTAGCTTCTTTTTTTTTTCTTTTTCTTTTCTTTTCTTTTTTTTTTTTTTTACAGGCAGAAGCTCATTAACCATAATGTAGGTGAGTAAAAGAATTGGTGAAAGAGCTGTTTTACCACAGTGTCCCTAGTGATATTGTCCAAGATATCAGGTTGACTCTGAAAATGATTGCAGTTGAGGACCAGATGAAGAGGAGAAACACTCCTGATTATGAAGAGCCCTCTAGATGGAGAGTAGGTCTGCCAGAGAACAAGGATTCTATCAGGAGGACACATCAGGAGTTTTGCAGCATCAAGGATTTGAGTTGCATTTCCAAATATGTACCCTGGTCCCATGTTCCATGCATGGGCATCTCTTCCCACAGATGTCCTGGTCAAATGAATTCTGCATGTACAGATGTCCCATGCATTATCACTAGGAAGAGACACTCTTCCCACTGAGTATGTATATGTTTGTGGAAGAGTAAGTTCAAGGTTTACGGTAGAAATGTTATATGACTTTATTTACATTGTTATTTAATTAGAAAGACTTTGTTAGGAACTGAGTGTGCTCTGTGAATGACTGGTGAAATGAAACACAACAGGAAGATTTGTGACCTATGGTTTGGGGAGGGTTCTGACATACATAATAGTGGATAGAGTGCTGGACCTGGAGTTAAGATCTGAATTCAGATCTGACCTTGGCCACTTACTAGTCACTTAATCTCTATTTGCCTTGGTTTCCTCAATTATTAAATGGGGATAATAATAGCATTTACCTCGCAGAGCTGTTGTAAGGATCAAATGAAATAGTACCTGGTGCTTAATAGATGCAATATAAATTAATTATCCTACAAAATACTAGAACCTGGGGTAGGCTAACCCAGTAGTATGCATGTGTATGTGTGCATGTGTGTGTGTGTATGGGGGAGGCGGTAAGAGTACTCTGTGGCCTACAGATAAATTTTGTAAAAAAATATAAATAGACCAACATCTATAAGTAAATTATACATTTTGTTAATATAAAGGTTCCTAAGGAAGAGGTTGAGTGGCATGGTAGTGGATAGAGGGCTGGCTGTGGAGCGAAGAAGACCTTCCTCTTCCACATACAACATATGTGACCATAAGCTAGGAACATAACCTCTCAATACTCAGTGCAAATTCTCTAAGACTATAAATTACAGGCAGCTGCCAATATTCATTGAACAGAAGGAGTTTCCTCACCAGGAGTTCACCCACAACGATTGAATCATAGATATGGACCCCACTCCCCAAAAGTACAGATTTTGTCATATCATACATGTATAACATATCACATATACATATGTATATGTCTGTGTACATATATCATATTTATTAAATATAGTATTTGAAACATACATTCACAAAAATAATATTTTGGGTATGAAATATTTTTGAAAAAGGTCTATCATGCTAAATGACTATGCCCTATAGAACTATTTCTAAATTACTCATTAATCCTTGACTTTAGTAGTTCTGTTCTGCAGCAACTACAGTTTTCTGCATCTCCAACTTCTCTCTGAATTCATAAATTTCTTTTTCCAGTTCTTGTATTTTCTTAGTGACCATTATTTTTTCCTTCATTTTGGATTGGTTTCTTTCACTGTAGATACAATGTCACCTTTGAAAGGAAATTGAAAGAATTTTCTTCTTTCTTCTTTGGTGGATCCTATGATTTTCCTCAACCTTGCCATAATGAACTTGGAAATAAAGGTTTGTTAAAATTATTTCTAAAGAACTCAGTACTTTCATCAGGACAAGAACCCCAGATATTCATCATATTTCTTATGGCATGGGAATATTACATTACAGTCATGCACTACAATGTTTTTCCATTTCCTAATTGATGGCCATCTTTCCCCCCCGATCTTTGCTACTACAAAAAGTACTGCTAGAGATATTTTGGTTTAAATGGAGACTTTCTTATCAATAAATTCCTTGAGGTATAAACCTGATAGCAGAATCCCTGGGTCAAAGGACTTGGACATTTTATTAACTTTATTTACACAATTCCAAATTGCTTTCCATAAAGGTTGTATTAATTCACAGCTCTACCAGAAGCTGGGTGACACACTGGATATAGGGTTGGGCCTGGAGTCAGGAAGACCTGAGTTCAAATGTGACCTCAGACACTATCTATGTGATGTGAAGCAAGTCATGCTACCTGCCTCAGTTTATTCATCTGTAAAATGGAGATAATGGCACCTACCTCCCAGGGTTGTGGTGTGTATTCATCTGTAAAATGGAGATAATGGCACCTACCTCCCAGGGTTGTGGTGTGAGGATCAAATGAGATATTTGTAAGATGCTTAGCACAGATTCTGACACATAATACATGCTATATGAATGATAGCTATCATCATCATTTTTGTCAACTGGAATTTCTCTTCCCCCCCCTGAAATTCTAGAGTTTACATAGGCACTGCTTCACATAAAGATGATTTTTCCCAGTCACCTATGGAAAAAATTTATACCACCTCCACCTCCAAGGTGTAAAGACAGGCCCAACCAGAAGAGACAGAAAGAGCCTGGAGTTCCCAAGAACGGCGAAAAGGGGATAATCCAGAAAGTGCCTGCTGTCATTCCCAGAATAGGGAGACCAGGGCAGAGATAAGGATCTGGCCCTCATGTGTTGCCTCCATTTGTGGCAAGTACCTAGAGAAATGCTGGACAGTTTTACCCCATTTAGCCAAAGCTGTCAGTCTCAGCCTTGCCAATCCCTCCAGTGATGGTAGCTTTTTCTAGATATGAAATTTAAAACTCTGGAATTCTTCCCTGGTACAGCTAGTTGTTATGCATGTAGAAGTTTGGTCAATCTGCTGAACTAACAAGGCATTTTCTCGAAAAAGGCTGGAATAGAACTTTTCCAGTGCCCAGACAGACAGAAGCTTCTTTCCCTCTGATCACCTTGCTTTATGTAGAAGATGTCACATGCTGGTTAGAATGCATCCATCTTCTGCATCATCTCCCTTCACTCATCCCTCTCCATCTCTCTCTCATTCTAACTCATTTTTTAAAGCAATTGGGGTTAAGTGACTTGCACAGGGTCATACAAGCTAGTGAGTGTCAAGTGTTTGATCAGAGACTGGATTTGAACTCAGGTCCTCCTGACTTCAGGGCCGGTGTTCCATCCACTGCACCACCTAGCTGCCCCCTCACTCATTTTTTAAAATGTACATTTTATTTTGGACCCAGCAGGTCTGAGTCACTGAGAGATTGATTAAAAACTTTCATATGTTCAATAATAGATGTTATTTAACTCTTCTTTTTCCTTACCATAGGTCAGACGTAAAAGCATATGAACTTTTTTTTTTCTGGGGAGGCTGAGAAAAACCTTCCTGAATGGTTAGAAAAGCCTAGGACCTCTCCACACTGATGAAATCAAAGATATGTTCTTATAGCATTACTATTAATAATGATGTTGATGATGATAGCTAGCATTTAAGGTTTGGAAAGTGCTTTGCAAGTATTACCTTTACTTTAGTTTTTTTGATCTTTTTGCCTTTTGGCCAATGTTTTTCTGAAAATTCTGAACTCCAAGGTCATGAAAGCAGCCACTTTTCAATACACAGGTGAGGATGTTAGAAATGATATCACACTGAAGATATTCACTTGCCAAAAGTACAATGAATAGGGAAGCATATAAGTTTAAAACCTGTGTATGTGTGTGTGTGTGCGTGTCTGTGTGCGTGTACATGATTTAGTTTCTATATTTGGATGTTAACATAAGATTTGCCTTCTATCCCATAATGGATTCTTAGATGTTGATTATGAATTTGGATAGCACTTTAAAATGTCCCAGTTGGTTTGCTCAGATCTATTCCAAACATGGATGATTATTCAATCCTGTGCACAACTACAGGGTTCTGTCTGCTTGCTCTTACCCTATGACATGCCAAATGATCCTAGGATCATAGTTTCAGAATGTGGATGTCATTGTAGATCTACACCTTCATTTGCTAGATGAGGAAACTGAGGGTCAGAGTAGATAAATGCCTCTTGCCTGTGGGCAAACAGGTAAAGTAGGAGAGCCAGAATCTGAAGCCAGGTCTGTTGGTTGCACATCTAGCACTCTTTCTACTACTTCATGATCCATTTGAGGACAATGGAAGTATCAGGAGTCACTGAATGTGACTAAAGGGGCTTTCTAAGACAAAGACAAATGAAAGCCATAAAGCAAAATTGTGGATGAAGAATTAAAACCAAGCAGGAAGAAACTTTTATTTATTCAGTTCTAATTTGGTTATTAAAAGGCACGACAGAAGTATTACCGGAACCATCTTGCAAACCTTCTTGCAGCCTTTACCAGCAGTGATGTTCTCTTATTTTTTGCACCTAGGAATAAGAACAATTCAGCAAGTAAAACACTGAAAACTACCTCCATTTATGAGTAAAGGACACAAGTATCCGAGTATCCCATGTTTGGGTAGGGAACCTTATCATCACGTTGGCAGCATGCTTGGTGTAATATCTAGAGCACTGTATTGGGAGCAAGGAGTCCTGAAGTCTCCACACTATCTGACTAGCTCAGGGGAACTTGAGAGTTGGGTCAATGGAACCTGTCTGGGATGAAGAAGATCACAGATATGTTGAAAAAAAGGCCAGGATATGAAACTTTTGCAAATATCTGGAAAATGTCATTGAAGAAGAGGAATAAGTAATTTTTCTGTGTAGCTCTAGAAGATGCAACTAGGACCTCTGGGTCAGGGTTATAGTGAACACCTTGTTTTCCTATTTTGAAGAGAAATCTGCCAAAAGTTAGAGCCATTCGGCTTTAGAACAGGTCATGTTATGAGGTAATGGGATCCCCATCAATGTCCATGTTCTGACAGAGGCTGGATAACTCTCTGTTGGAGATGCTCAGAAAGAGATTTTTATATTTGGCAGGAGGAAATAGAACCCTTCAAAGGTCTCTTCTAATTTTATGACTCTATGCAGCCAATTAATAAGGACACGGGAACTCTAGAATATCAATTAAAGTCCTATGTTATCATGGAAGGAGGAGAAAAGAGTGTGGACCACATGTATATCAAAAGGAAAGATGTGCCCCCACTTCCTAACTCCTCTCATGCAATGCTTTGTTTTCTTAGGGCTTTATATGGGTGTGGGCATAGTTCTACAAGCTTAAACTCATAAAATCCTTGTTTGCCATCTCAGTATTTGACTGCAATATGGACCTATGCAATTTCTTCTTCCTTCTCTCTCCAAAGAAAAAGCTAAATGAAGAGAGGAAAGAAAAGAAGAAAGGAGAGAAGAAAAGGAAAGAAGAATAGGAATGAGGAGAGGAAAAACAAAAGGAGAAGGGGAAGGAGAAAGAAAAAAAAGGAATTCTCAACTTTGGAAATTACTACTCTAAGGTAAGGAAGTTAATTCAATGCACTTATCACAGTATGGCAGCCTAAAAGGCCCAGACCTTTATTTATTTATTAGTCTGATCAAGCTTGGATCCTAAGTGAGGAAAATGAACTTTAAAAAAAAATTCCTTCAATATATTTCACATCAGCTATTCTGTTTGCATTAGGTCATTAAAATTGTCAATGAATATAGATTTCCCACATTGCTAGATACAAACTGGCTAAACATTCTACATTTACTCTCTCACCATCCTAATTGTTTCTGGCATCTGTCTCTCTTCTTAACCCTTCATCTACCCTGGAGAAACCTGAGTATTTCTGACTCACCACATTGGTTCAGGCTTACCCAACTTGGAAGATTCACGGGTCTCTATCTTTCCTTCAGAAATGCTCATGGGTGGATGTTCTTTTTCTTCCAACTTTGGCTCTATGTCCATCTGACTTATGTTTTTCTTTTCATATGCAGATAATTTAGCTTCAGCTTCTGTTATCTGAAAATTTTCAAAATATGTTAGTTCCTTTATTTTCCAATTATTCAATCTTATTTTTTAAAATTCTCTTTACTTTCACAACTCATATTCCTGAGTAGCTGATAGTATCCCTGCTCAGTGCGTCTTTGTACTACCTGATCCTCAATGAACTCATTATAGTTCAATCATTTGTCATACATTTATTTACCTGCAAGTTGCTTGTGTAGCTTCTGTGGGACAGATGAAACTAAAAAGACATGGTTCTCTGTCCTTAAGAAATGTCTAATGCAGTAATAAAATGGAAGACATGTAGATGCACAAATAGAAATAAGAGAAAAATGTAACTGCTGTATGAATTGTGCAACTCCTTATAATAAAAAGGGAAAATAAGGAGACTACTTCCAGCTAGGAGGATGTATTGGATATAGAGGATATATATTCAACCTCTTACAAAGGAGTTCGAGCTGGTTTGAAGGAAGGGCAAGATCTATAGAGGCAGAGATAAGAAAGCTGGCTTTCCAGGTGGGAAGAAGAGTATGAGCATGGGCATGGCAGTGCAGTGGTGCAAAAGACATTTGGAAAAAGTCAAACAAAGCAAGGTATTGCAGTAACAGGTTAGTAAAGTAAGGAGTAAGCCTGGAAAGACCTATTTGGGGTCAAACGATGGAAGGCTCTGAGTATGGAGTTTGTTTCAATGAGCAACAGGGATGCATTTCCAGTTTGTGAGCAGAAGACTGGGTATGTAGAGACCTTGCTTACATAATGGCAAAACCACTATCTAGTCTTTGAGAAATACTGGAGAAATACCAGAAAGGCTGAATTTGAGCGGATGTCCCCATTTTTAAAAAGGGAGATAACTTTTTTAAAAGGAGTTTCTAGAAAATCAATCTATCATAAAATTTTAAAATATATGAAATTGATGGCTTGTGAATAAGTAGGAAAGGGAAGCCATAATCACCAAGAGCTCACATGAGTTATCTGAAGATATCACATCCAAAAAATCAAGGTCATCTTGGTTTAAAATAATTAGCTTAAAAATAATTTCCTTTTTCCTCATTACTATCATTTTATACCACCAGCTTCCTGGTCCCTTATATTCAGAGTTTTAAGCTTTATATTCTCAGCGCCCCTCATGCCCTATTCCCTTACATAATTATTTTTAATTTCTTTGCACCTTAATAACTCTCTCAAACCATTCAACTAAGTTCACAATTTATTGTACATAGACTGTTCTTTCCACTTCTGTACTTTTGCCCACTATTTCTTCCACCTTGAATGCTTTTCATTATAGCACCTACTTCTCAGGGTTGTTGTGAGGATAAAACAAGATAATAATTGAAAAGTGCTCAGTACAGTGTTTATATAGTAAGTGCTATATAAATGTTAGTTGTTTTCATCATCATCATTCTTTCCATCTTCTTTTCAATCCCAGTTCATCAAATCCTTCAAAGCCAGACTTTAAAAACCTTACGTATTCTAAAAATACTTTCCAGAATATGATGATTATCATCCATTCTTCTTTCTTTTCAGACTTAATTCAAGCTGGAAACTAAATAAACTAGCTATACGGCTTTTGGCATATTACAAGCTGAGTTGTGCTGGGTATTCATGTCTATAAAATTAGCTGAGATGGTGCTAAGGGGTTGAAATAGATGATTGTGACTTCCACCTCTTATGGTATCAGTTCTATGTTGTCAAGTTTGCTTTTCATGGTCTAGGAAAGCAGTCCTCATAAGCAAAGTTATGATTGTAAAGATTGAGGGAAGATTGTTTGATCTTAAGGGAATTATTTGAAAGCATCATCCACTTCCTATGCAATTATGTGATCATAAGAAATCTATCTATCTATCTATCTATCTATCTATCTATCTATCTATCTATCTATCTATCTACTTTTTCAAAAGATGGGAATAAGTCACCTAGCATCTTGACTTGGAAACACATTTGCGAATCAATAGTTAATTGACATATTACTAATGGCACTTGAAAATAATAACATAATGCTGTTTTTAAAAATTCTTCTCTAATTCAGAATTCTTAGGATTCTAAAGAAAGTGGCATTCACTCTCTTCAAAATCATTCCTGTTTTTGACTTCACACCAAAATTGCCACCTATTCCCAAGTTGGGAGCCTTGCTTTTATTCCTTTCCTATATATCTTCATCTTTCTCTTCTTCTTCCTTTTCCTCCTCTTTCTGCTCTACTTTTTCCTCCTCCTCTTTTTTCTTCTCTTTCTCCCTTTCTTTTTCCTTTTCTCCTCCTCTTTCTCTTCCTTTTCTCATCTTCTTCCCTTCCTCCCCCTCCTCCTTTTCCCTCTCTTCCTTTTTCTTCTTTCTCCTCCTCCCCTCCTCTGTTTTCCCGTCCTCCTCTTTCTCCTTTTCTTTCTCCTTTTTTCCTTATTCTTCCTTCTCCTTTTCTTCCTTGTCCTCCCCTTCCTCCTCTCTTCCTCTTCTTCCTAATTGTTTGTATCCCACAACATCCAGGACAGTGCATACAAACAGGCCCCCTCTATAAATCATCGTGGAATAGAAATGGGAAATTGCCCATAAATTGAACTGTCTCACCGTGGCATATGCTGTTTTGAGGAATTCAGCATCTTTCTGGACCTTCCTTCTTAGAGCACTTTTTATTACTAGTTCCCTTTTTTCGAACTCAATTTCTCTGGAAAAGAAAAACCAATAGCATGTGTTGTAAATGGGGAGAGTGCTGACTTGAGAGTCGTGAGTCTTGGATTACTAATATATTGGATTACATTAACTGCCACTATATGCTATCCATATTAACTTATCAATGATTTGCTTCTGTGTCCCCTTTAATATTTTATCTGTCCATATCTATAGCTACATCCTTTCTCTTTTATTCCAAGTGCATGTGTTTCTATGTACTCTTTGATTCTGTTTCTACTTTCTCTGTTGCTCACATTAATTGGCACAAATGTTTCTATATTTCTTTCTATTCCTTATGCTGACTGATTTTAGTTTCTGATATTATTCACTTATATCGATAATCTAGAACTTATTCAGACATTTCTTTACTTGTCAGGCATTTCATGTATCTCAAGGTTTTTTGAATAATATATCACTAGTATAAATATATTTGAACATCTACTACTTTCCCTCCATTTGGTATATTTCCAATAAAGGCATGTCGGGGACATAGGGTTACACACTCTAATATTTGTAACTTGACCAGGATATTGCTACATTGCACTCGTAAAGACTTTCTACTGTTTTGAAATTCTACTTGTAGTAGATGATATAGTGTACCTGGTTCTCCAGAGTGATGCCAAAGTTGAAATTTCATTATTTAGGGTTTCGTTTTCGGTGGTTCTTGTAGTTTTACCTCTTTCCTTTGGAAGGAAATCATTTTTAGAAAGAGATAATTAAAATATAATTCTAAAGGAAATAAAAGCCAAACCTTTTTTTTTTTAAAATTACTAATCTTAGACTATGCTCCACTTATGATCTGATGGTTAATGATCCTTTTATCAGGCAGGAAAGATCTCTGAAGGAGAGAATAGCCATTTCCTCAATACCCTTCCTGAGGCAAAACCTGTGAAAGTACAATATGTACTGTGACCCTGCTTCCAAAAATTTTGCTACAGTCCAAGCCAGAAAGAATCATCAGTTTTAAGTCATTCAAACTACAAATATTGTAGAAGGTAAAGATTTACTTTACAAAGAAGCCAAAGCCATATTAGTCCAAATTTACAAGCATAGAAAGGAAATCCTACTGATATATCAGCAGGAACTTTTAATCTCTGTAACTCAATATAAATAATTTTTCAAAATGTAAAGAGCAAGTATGGCTCAAAAGATGTGAGAAGACACTGTGTCAACTCCTTTGCAGAGGTGAATGATGTACAGATGTGGAACATTGCATTTTTAGACTTTTTTCAGTGTATTGATTGGTTTTGCTCATTTTTTCCCTTTTCTTCCTCCTTTTTGTTATTTAAAAATATTATTTCTCATAAAGTATGAGTCATCCCTGGGAGAAGGAGAGGAATGTTGGGAGAAATTCTGATGATTTTATAAAACAAAAGATATCAATAAAAATTATGAAAAACATTTTTTAAAATTGAGGTGATTTCAACAGTCTGGGCAAGAGATTATATGACCCTGAACTAGGGTAGTAAGTGCATATGAGTAGAAGTAAAGGAGTAGATGCCAGAGATGTCATAGAGGCAGAAGTGGCAAGATCAGTTAACTGATATAATATAGGGAATGAGGGAGAGGGAAGAGTTGGAGATGACTCCTAGAGAACGGAGGGATGACTGGAAAAAAAAGCAGTGTCCTCGATATACATAGGAAAGTTTAGTGGAGTAATAGGTTTTGGGGGAAGATAATGCCTTCCACTTTGTACATACTGATAACATGAGATACTTAATGATGCATGTTGACTAATTGAAGCTCAGGAGACTGGTTCTTCCTGGACCTCTAGATTTTGGTGTCTTCTTTGAAATTATCATTCAACCAAATGGAGCTAATGAGATCACCAAGAAAGAAGGTGCAGGGTGAGAAAAAAAAAAGATTACATGAGGCAGAATGTGAGAGGACACCCAGATTTAATGAATGGGAGACAGTGATCCAGGATAGAGGAGTGAGATATTGTCAGTCAATAGGAGAAACAGCAGAGGGCAGCTAGGTGGCACAGTGGATAGAACACCGGCCCTGAAGTCAGGAGGACCTGAGTTCAAATCCAGCCTCAGACCAAACACTTGTGTACTAGCTGTGTGACCCTGAGCAAGTCACTTAACCCTAATTGCCTAAAAAAAATTTTTTTTAAATAGGAGAAACAGCAGGAGAGAACAGAGTAATAAGGTGGGAAAGGAATCTATACATGGAAGAGGTAGAGAGACAAAGAACTATGAAGAGTGAGAAAAGGCCATCAGATTTAGCAATTATAAGATTGCTGGGGAACAAAAGATCAAGAATAACAGTGAAAAAAGTGAAAAAAAGAATTAGAAATTAAAGGGATCCACCATTACTATATATTAAACTATATCATAAGGCATTCATCATCAGAATTATTTGGTAGTGGTTAAAGAAAAAAGAAAGGCACATCAGTGGATCAGACTGGATAATCAAGACCTTAGAACCAAATGAATCCAGAAGTCCAGTATTCAATGAACCTAAGAACATGAATGAATGGGGAAAGAACTTCCTGTTTTGGAAAAATTGTAGGGAAAATGGCAAAGCAGTTAGGCAATAATTAGGTTTGGAATAGCGTCATACACTATTTAATAATAAGCTCCAGTGGGATAAACAGCCTTAAGATTAAAAGGAATATTTAAACATCATGGAAAATCGAAGGAAGTTTCTTTCAATGATATGAGTAGGGAAGACATTTGCAACAAAACAAGAGGTAGAGGTCATCATAAAAGAAAAAGTAGACAATTTTTAAAATTATGTTATTACAATAACAAACTTTCTTATGAGCAGAATCAATACAACTTATAAGAAAAGAAAAAATTAAGGTGGGAATAATCTTTTGCATTTCATTTTTAGTTAAAGGTCTGCTTTGGTCTTTTAAAGTCATTTCCCCCCTCTTAAATAAGTCACCCAATAACAATATAAGCAAATTTTTTTCCCAAAAAAACTACTAAATCTATCAACAACCTTATGAAAAGAGTGCTCCACATCATGAATAGGAAGGGAAATAGATCAACTGCTTTTTTCACTTCACATCAAGTCGGCAAAAATTATAAGGTATGGGAATAGACATGTTGGAAGAGCTATGGGAAGATAGGCTAAATGTTAATATGTTGTTGGAGGACCCAGAATGAATCCAACAACTGTAAAAAAAATTTGGAATTATTTAAGAAAAGACATTAAAATGCCTATGCCCTTTCAATCATTAACTCCACTATGAGAATTATATACTCCAAGGAGGTAAAAGACAAAAGAAAAAAAAAGGTTTCATACATATAGTCACATTTTCTTGGCTAGAAACAAAGTAGGTATCTGCCAATTAAATGGAGATTGGCTAAAAAAATAGTGATTTATTAATATAACATGATATTATGTTTAGCCAGTGAAGAAACATTTATTGTGTTCCAGGCACTGTGATGAGCTCTAGGGACACAAAGAAAGGAACTCATGGTCAATTGGAAAGCAACATATCAAAAATTGTACATAACAGCATAAGTGGAAAGTAATCTCACAAGAAAGGCATTAGCCAAGGGTGGCTATGGTTGGCCATGGGTATGGAAGGAGCACTTCCAAAGGACTACTTCAGAAGGTGGAATTTGAGTTGAGTCTTATAGGAAGTCAGGAAAGCCAGGAAGCAGAGAGGAAAGAGAACATTCTAGGGGTGGGTGTGTGTGGGGAGGGCAGTCAATGAGAAGGCATGGAGCTGGGAAATGGGAGTGTGGTGTATGAGGAAGAGCAAGAAACCCAGTGTCTCCTTGGATTTTAGAGTACATGGAGGGGAATAAACATAAAAAGAATGGAAGGGTTGGAAAGGAACCACATGTTGCAGGACTTTAAAAGCTGAACACAGGATTTTATATTTGATCCAGGAGCCTCTAGACTTTCTTAAATAGGGCAGAAATGTAGTCAGGCCTTTGTTTTAGGAATATCACTTTGCAGGTGAGGGAAGGATGGATTGGAATGGGGAGAAATTTGAGGTAAGGAAAGGCTTATGATATAGGGATGAGGTAAGGAGGGCCTGTACCAAAGTGGTGACTGAGTAGATGGAGAAAAGGGACATATAAAAAAGATGTAGTGAAGGTAGAAATGCCAAGGCTTGGCATGACATTGGGTATGTGGGGTAATGCTAATTGAATTTCATGGGAGCTAATGTGATCACCAAGAAAGTTAGTATAGAGGGAGGAGAGAGAATGGAACAGAGCTTTGAAAGACATACCCGAAGTTAGTGGTAACAACTTAGATGTAGATTCCAACAAGGAGACTGAGATAGACCGGTCAGAGAGGGAGGAGAAGAAACAGATGAGAGCAGTGTCATCAAACCTAGGGAAGAAAGACTATCCAAGAAAAGAGAATGCTTGATAGTGTCAAAGGTTGCAGAGAGATCACATGGAATAAGACATGAGATAAGGCCATTAGATTTGAAACATAAAGTGATGGTAACTTGAGAATGCCATTTCAGTGCTGTAGAAAATGATTTGAAGAATTCAAAGGCACTTGGATAAATCTTTATGAACGGATGCAAAAGGAAATAAGGAGAACAAAGAGAATATTATAGATAACTTAAATTAGTATGAATGAAAACAACACTGAAAGGTTGCCGTTCTCTTATTAATTGTATTGAAAAACCCTAGCCCCCCAGGAAAACAGAAAATGAAACATAGTTCTCTCCCCTTGGTAGAGTGGCTGCAGGCTACAAATGTAAAATGTTGCATATCCTGTCAGATGCAGTTATGTTGGCAGGTTTTGCTGAACTGCTTGTTTATTTAATTATGTATGTATTTATATATGTTTTTACTCTAGGGGGAAGTGCTCAATGGTGATTGCATGGGTGTAAATCTGGAAAAGACTAGACTGCAAACACAAAATGCACCAATACAATTTTATAAAACAAACAAATCCAATGGGATGAGTTTCAAGATATTTACTAGCATGTTTCAGACTCTTGAACCTAAGAACAGAGATTTGTTTCATAAACAATAGTCGTTTTAAATAATGGGGAATAGTGGAACAAATTGAGCTTTTATGTCCTCTGTAGGCACTTCATTTAATACCTGGTTTTGGGCTGAATTGAGGAGACCTCTTTTCCTTTCTTCCTCTTTCATTAGGTGTTTGATTAATCGCTTCATGTTTCCAGGTGACTCTCGTCCAATTTGAATCCTAGTCACATAACAGTCACATTAAGTTTCATTTCCATAGAATAGTAATAGGAACAAATTTAATAGGTTTCCAAAACTCTCTTTAGACTACAGTAGTATTTAATTATCAAGAGAATACTAATCATCACTAAAAATAAGTCAATAAAGTTGATTCATAAGAAAAGCTCAAACCATAAAGTTGGCTATAAAGGTCTCCATTTAGGCTGTGGAGATGTGACTGGGCACTCTGACCGAAGTATACAAATGGATTCTAAAATTTCATTGTTTGTTAGATAAAATAAGGTCATTCACATCTAACAGCAAAAACCAAAAAGCTGGGGAGCTCCCACTTTTGCTGTTTTCACATAACTTGAATGAAAATTTCCATACAGAAGATAAAAAAGCAATTTTTGCATCACAACAAATGTAGGAAAATGCATTTACCAGACAATATGTCCCATTCTTTTAAAAGCAGAGTCAATTTGCTCTTTGGTTAATCCTACTAGATTGATGCCATTGACATTAATGATCTGGTCGAATACTTGGAACCTGAAAAATACAAAGACCACCATCCACATTATTAGTAAAACATTTTCAGAGAATGATACTTCTCTGACACAGAATATCGGGGCTGTGAATACAACCCCTTTACAAATATAAAACACAACCTCTGGACAAATTACTAGTAGGTTCTGAGATTCTGAAGTTTGAGATGGTCAAATTCATCACCTTCTAACCAACTTGGGAATCATCTTCCCTGAACTTGTTTAGATTATTCAAAGTATAACACACAGAATCAAACATTGGCTCTATGCTCAGATCCTTTCCAAGTTGGTAAGAAATTTCAGGTGCTTACCCTCTTCTGGTATTGCTTTTCGGAACCCAGAATCATCTCCCTCTTTCACTAAAAGGCATCAGAAATAGACTTAGTGAAGAATGCTCAACTGAGAGATAGCGATATTGAGGAATCCACACACATAAACATGCCCCCCCGATGAAATGTTTTTTTTTCATTTCATCTTTATTGTATGTCATCTAAATCAAAATACAAATAGTTTAACTAGAAGCTAAGATCAATTATTCCACTGAAGTTTCAAGTCCCATAAAAAAAAATTGGGGCCTAGGTTAGAAGACAGGATTTAGAAGGCATCTGTCAATTGATGAGCAAGAATAGGCACTTCTAGTGACACTGAACAGAGTAAATGAATGTCCTAAGACCAAGAAAAAAAGAGAAGTATCCTGGGCCTGGCCTGGTACTCGAGTATCTTAGCCATGTCCTGGTTAAGCACAACTTAGTCATGTCCTGGTTGAACACAACTGGAGGGTGGCAGGCAGGAAAGTCCTAAGAGGACAGGAATAAGGGTAATGCAGAAACGGTTCTGTACGTCAAGGTGAACTGTGATCAAGAAGCTGTCTGACCTAGACTTGAAAGAGAACACTGATTTTCCTTCAATTTAATATATTAAAGGTTAGAAGTTTCATTTGGAGAAATTTCTGTAAGAAGAAGAGTCAGCTTGGAGTTTGACTTGAGTTCAGAACTGTACCATGAACATGGGCACATACTATCTATTTTCATAGCATATTCATATGGGCCTGATTTCTGTGAATACTTGGCAATTTCTTAATGTGGTGTTTTCTCAAGTAATTGCTTATTGTTTGTTGGCACTACTTTGTAGGTACAAAGAAGCACTATGTCCAGGAAGCCTGGCCTGGAAGTAGGAATTGATTTCTAGCCCCATCAAACCTTAATTATCTGCTCACACTTATTCCCAAGATATAGGGCTAGCTATTATACCTTCTCAACCAACTCAAAGGACTGGGAAACTGTATGTGTATGTATCAGATAGGTTCTGTGAAGCCCTTGAAGGCATTCCAAATGAAGTGGAAGGGCTAGGATGATGTAGAAGCCATTTGCTGTTTTTGCTATAGAGTCTGTTCAGTTTCAATGCTTATTTGGCCAGAGAAATATTGTTAGAGGTGACTTTGGGAAGAAGACTTTATGGAGACATTTCCATGACCTTACACATTTCTTTTTCTTTTTTGCCTAGAATCTGTGCATACTTACTAAAATGGTCCAGTTCAAAACATTCCCAAGTTCCCCCTACAAAGCTAAGTCACATAGAGCTATCAGGCCAACTTCAAGCTCACTTTCCAGATTTATGTGCTGCTCCTCCTTTGACAATTTCCATGATAAAGACAAGTGGTTCCCTCTCATCTTTGTCGGCTGGATCATAGAAGAGACGAATAAGGATTCCGAGTCCCCTTTCATCTAGAAGCACAAAAAGTTCAAGTGATGTCTCAAAGTATTTCAAGCAGTGCTAAGATATCAAAAGGAACATTTAGATCAGCCAAGTGGAAATTTCCCAGCTTGTGAAGGGTTTGAGTTCTACAACTTCATTGGGAAGTTAGCCATTTGTAACTCAGAATGTACTTCTCCCATAGCATTAAACTCAATCCCACAAACCTTTATTAGGTACCTACTCCATCTTGGGCTCAAAAAGATGCAAGGATGAATCAAGACATGGAGTTGGGCTTAAGGAGTCTACAATCTATTAGAAACATATTATCCATAATGGCTTCCAGGTTGGTCTACTGAAGTCTGTTTAACTGGAATTGTAGCTGATCTAAAGTATGCAGAATTGTCTCTGACAATGAGTTCCTAGACCAAGGAAAAGTTGAGAACGAGAACTTTGATTTTGGTCCAGTCTGCAGTAGGCAGCCACACTTCCTGTGTCCTCTTTGGGGAAGGGTTCTACTGGGGGAGTGAGGTGATCACTCCACAGATGTTTCTGTGGAAGGAGTATGGACCCAAGTTGTAGACTTATTTTAAATTATACCTTATTGTATTATAACTTATTTTATAACTTATTTTATATTATAACTTATTACTATAACTGTAAGGTTAAATGACTTGACGAGGGTCACATATGAAGTAAATATCAGAGATGGAACTTGAACCCAGCTCTAAAGGCCTGCTCTTTATCCATTACACCAGGGCTAACTCTCATGTAAAATAAGAATTTATAAATTTCATAACTCACCTTTTTCAATTTGAAAAGAAAATAAATCCAATTTATTGGCTCTTTGCATTCTTTGCCTCCTCCTGATTAAATCTTGTTGCACAGGGCAATCCCAGACCTTGCTTGAATGGGAAATCAAAACATTTTTAAAAAGACTAAATTTACAACTAAATTTACATTATAGGTAAAATTATGAACATTCATTAATCCTACTTAGGAAAAATTCTCATTTTCATGATCAAGATTATTCATTGAAAAAAAATCTTTTCGTCATAGGAGACTCAGGCCTCCTCTCTCCAAGAGTAATTCTTACTTATACAAATAGACTTTCCAACCTTTATTATATTTGTTATTTTAAAATAGCCACTGGATTTGTTGAAGGGAGATTAAGTCCAAAGGAATTTATAATATTGATATATCATGTAATGTTTATAGCAAGTAAATGATAAAGGCACATTGAATTTGCTTATCTCTAATGTGAGGTTGGCCTATCCATTATATATACACACCAGGTTCTAAGTACTCTTCTGCTTATCACCACTCTCCCCTTTCCAAATTCTGGCTGGAAATAATCTTCTAATTAATTGCCAAAGAAAGATACTGATTGGCTTCTGTCTGCCCGTGAAATTGGAGGTGGAAAACTAATCAGGCAGATTTGAGCAAAGTCTCATAACTTCCAATGAAATACCTATTCCTGCTTCAGTTTCCCCCAGCTGCCCTGATGCACTGGAAGGATCATGGGTGCTAGGAGACTTGGACCGAACAACACCACAAGTTCTGGAGAGCAGCCTTTCTTCCCTGGACCATCGTGGACACTCCTAGAGATTATCATAACCTAAGCTCATAGACATTCATCTGAGCCCATAGACTTTGTTAGTGACCTTAAATCAGGCTTTTCTTGGCTTTTGTTGGCTGAAGTTCTGTTGGTATCTCTGTGAGATAGTGAATGGAGAAGGTGGAGCTGGAGGGGCCTCAGACTTGGACGGTCTCAGGGTGTGCACCTGTGGATGCCTGAGGACAGATGCCCAGGGCCAGTCGGATGGGAGTCTCCTTTTGGGAGCTCAGTCTGGTAGCCAAGGCAGCGAAGACAATTTGACCCTCCCTGGTGGCCGGGGCAGTAAGGGAGGAGAGAGGTATGGACGCTTCCTGCCGCCGCCGCCGCCGCCGCCGCCGCCGCCGAATGATGAATATACAATCGGAGTGACGGAGGCGAGATCTAGCAGCATGGTAGGGCGTGGGGGGGGGGAGCGGCGGGGGTTGAATAGGGGTCTGGAGGCGAAGGGGTGGAGAGGTAGAGGAAGCAAGTGGCGAGCTATCTCACCACCTAGGGCTCCTCCGCGGGGGCCGTTTTCAGCTTCAGCTAACTTTCTATTCTCTGAATTCTGCCCTCCAGTTCACAAAGCAGGTTTGCTCACGTCATTGTACCAAATCTCCTAAGCCTCTTTCTTCTTCATTATTATACCTCTTGGTTCTCCCCTTCCTCCTAATCATTATGATTGTCCTTTTCTTCCAGGCTTCATGTCTCTCCTGTTGTTCACTCAAGATCTTCCTTTCATCTCCATCTCTTTTCTTTATTCTTCTGCTCTGCTTCTCTCTGCTCTTCCTATCCCTCAGGCCCTACTTCATGAGTCCTTGTCTTCTTTTTTCTCCAGTTCCCCCCTATTAACATGAAACAGTTCATTCTGCCTCCTCTCCTCTTGGATTTCTGTTTCTCCTCAGTACTTCAAAGTGCTCCTGGCCAAATGCAGTCTCTGTCCTGCTTCACAATTCTTAAATCATCCAATCACCCTCACAATGTTCTTCTCCTTCATCACAATGTGTTCTCCAATAGCTCCTTCTTTTCCATTCTGATGGAGCAGTAGAAGCTATCACCTCTCTCCCCACTCTCCTCAGCCCCTCTGCCCTTACAATACTAAATTGCAGGGTATGTGATTGAACTCTCCTCAAGGAAAAAGGAACTCACAAAGAGCTTGACAACGAACTATTTAACAACCAGAAAAGTTGTTAAGTAAGTAAAGCAAGCACATACCTAGTATCCCAAACTGTCTCAAAGTTCCAATAAAATGGAGATTGATCAGACACTAAAATCTGAATTCTCCAAACTCACCATTAATCTGAATTCTCCAAACTCACCAAAAGTGCTACAAATCAAACCATCCCATTTGCCAGTCCACCCACATGAAGCACCATGAGGGAAATTTTACTCCTCAGTGATGTCTCCTAGCAACAATGCCTTCTCTGTTGCCATGGAAATAAAGAACAACATAAATACTTTATGATGCAATCAGCCCCAGTAGAAACAGCAGCAATGGCAACAAATTGTAGTGACCTCTGGCTCTGTGGCTCAGTGAGAGGAGAGGCTGATCTTAGACCATGAGTTGAACTGAGCTCTTTAGATCCTCCGAGAACTCGAAGTACATTACCCAAGAGTCACAAACTGAGGCAATATATGCTGTCATTGTATCCTTGGCATCAAGGCCTGATCTTACTTTAGTTACCCGATATTTTCCATTCTGTAGCTGCCTAATAACCCTTTGCTTTAAGTGTCCATACAATGTATATGTTCTCCCTCTCTCATTGACTGCATTTGTTCACAAAGTTCCTCCCCTTCTTCATCTGGTCCCCTTTGTCTCAGTTTGCACTCATCCCACTTCATTAGGTGAGATAACCTCAGTACACACCAAGGGTTTGCAGTCTCTGTATCAATATTCTTTAAGTATTGTTACTCTTCCTTGATAATAACTACTGTGCCTATATCCTTTAGAATTAACATAGTTACAACGGAAGTAGAGTAACTTGACAGTAGGTTAGCCACAACTGAGAAAGGAATCTGATCTGCGTATTACAGTTAGCACATGGGGCTCTCGAGGCCCGTAGAGGTTCAGTGATGTCTGTGTAATTGATAATCTACAAAGAGAAGTTGACTGACCTGTTCATAATGAGGGCACTCTGCCAATTCACTCTCAAAGTAGAGAAGGGACAATTTCGATGATGGGATGCTGCTGAGGAATGGAAATGAAAGAGTCAATGAGGATTAAAGATACATACACCAAGAACAGTACTCTTGCTATGCAACACCCCTCCTTCCCCCCAAAAAAACCCAACCCTTTCAAGTCAAATGACCTAGCTTGTATTTGGTGTCCAGATGAATATGGACAATGTGGAAAAGCTTCAGGAATTGAAGAAAGATTCTAAGCACCCTGAAAGAAGGGAGCCCTAGGGAATTTTGAATTTCTGTGGTCAACTCTGTGGTCAACAAAATTTGCCTTAATGGAGCTCCCTCATTGACTACATATGGATGGAATTTGCTTGACCAGTTGCCCCCAAAGTGTAGAAGGGAAAAAAGCAGAGAAAGAAGGCAGCCAGTGAGGAAAGCCTTGTTACTACCTTCCCACCTGCATCCCCTCCCCCCTTAATTGCCTCCCTGTATGCCAGCCTCTTATAGGTTATCTATACAGGCCCTTGGAGAGCCAAGAACAATGGTATACTTTTTTCAACTTTTTTTTGTGTGAGGCAAATGGGGTTGCCCAGGGTCACACAGCTAGTAAGTGTCCAAGTATCTGAGGTCGGATTTGAACTCAGGTCCTCCTGACTCCAGGGCTAGTGCTCTGTCTACTGTGCCACCTAGCTGCCCCTCATCAGTATATTTTGTTAAGGGATTGCTATTGTTCTATTTATGAGGAGGAGTGTAGGAGGAGGGTAAAGTTTATTGCAAGTGGTCCTAATAATTGGGGAAGCTCAGATTCCAATTGCAGACAAAAATGAATGCCAAAGATGCAGATTCACAAGGCATATATTATTTCAACATGTTCAACTCAATGGAATCTACTCTCTAAAAACTTACAAAGAAGGTGTGTGTGGCATATTAGGAAACTTATGAATCATCTCTTGTTTTAGCATTTCAAGCTAATATCCACTTTGGTGTCAGATGTCTACACTTTCTGATGGAATGATAGTTTTTAATTTTGTAGTAATGAATCCATGGTAAAGTACTACATTGTAATGGGTAGAAAATGGATATTTTATGCTATCTTGTGTAATACCTATCATCTCTAGTTGTCCTAGAGAAAGGGGCAGTCTCTTACATGTTTGGCTCCCAGAATAATGAGCCACTTTCTTGTTGGTGAATTAGATTAATGTCATTTTACTTTGAAGCTTTCTGTTGTGGGGGAAAAAGTGTTCTGGATTTGTAAGCAAGAGGACTTAGGCAAATCTCAGAACTGCCAATTATCACTTTGGAGAGCTCAATTCACCTCTCTTACAACTCACTGTAAAGTAGGAGCTAGGGGTGGAATAGTAGAAATTGAGCACTCCTGCCCCATTGCACTCAGCTTGTCTGCCTTTCACACCCAAAACTGTAGGATTCAAACCCATAACAAGGAGAAATGCATCCACAAAGTTTGACACCTGACAAATGAATGACCAGAAATAGCCAGTAAGAAAAGCAGCACACAGTGTGCTTTTGCACACATTTTTATGTCTGTAAGATCCATTAGATAAACCAAAGATTGACCAAATTCTAAGCCTCTAATTTTCTAAACCACCGCTCATCAAAAACACTACAAATCAACTCACCCCACATGCCAATTCACCCAAAGGAAACAGCCTAAGGGCAGTCCTACTCTTCAGAATCATGGATACCTCCTAACAATCATGCTTTCTCTGCTACTTAGTGAAGGACTGAGTGACAGTCTGCAGATTTAGTAAATGAAAAACTTAATTTTATTTTTAGTGAAAAAGTAAATATATTTTGAAGGGCAGCTAGATGGCACAGTGGATAGAGCACAGGCCCTGGAGTCAGGAGGACATTAGTTCAAATTCAGCCTCAGACTAGCTTTGTGACCCTGGGCAAGTCACTTACCCCTGATTGCCTTCTCCCCCCCCCAAAAAAAAAAAGAAATAGTTTGGACATTATCTTCCATCAGGTCTATGAATTGTCTCGTATACCTCACTTTGGAGATCACTGATTCAGGGAATGGATTTAGGCATTGAGAAGTTCAATTACTTCCCAGGATTCATATATGTCAGATATAAGATGTGAATCAAAGCCTTCCAAGTCCAAGGACAGCCCTCAGGCTTTCTCTTGCTTGGCGATTTATACACTAACAACAACACGCCTTCTCACTAGATCTCTTATCCACCCACTTCCTCCACTGTGTCCCCTGAAGAGAAGAGAGTACATGCCTTTGGGTATTGCTGCCTTTTGCTGCTCAGCTACGGACTTCCTTAGTTAAACGACCATCTTTAGAGTCACCAGCATTTCAATCTCCCTTTTACTGGTCAATCTCATACAATCGCTGTAAAACTTTGTCTTCAGTCTTCTCAGCCAAATCTCACAACCAATCGCTGTGAATTTTTTGATATATGCTATGCCAGGCTTCAAAGTTAAGCTTCTCAGCTAATGATGAGGAAACTCTCTTCCCCTCAGGCAGCTAGCCCTCAGAAGCACTGAGGCCAGGGCTGAGTTCAGGGATGCTTTTGAATTCTCCTTAGAATTCTTTTCTCAATGGCTTCTCCGTGCTTTGTTTACTGGACTAAACAGTTCTTTCAACTGTCTCCTTCGAGGTTTATCCTTTGTAGAGTCACCAAACCTACTGCAAGAAACACATCTCCATTCTTAGATTGAATTGTCTCCTGAAGTAAATCTCCCCAGGGTTGTTCTGTTTCCTCAACAGAAAAAAGAAACTGAGACACTGTGGTAAGGAAACAGTTTTTACCTTACCTAGGAGCCTTTGTGTTCTATGCAAAGTAGCAAGAGCTGCTTTTCCCATCAGGATGGCAATAGTGTTGGGAAAGGTCGGAGCCCAGCTCCCCCATGTACATTTCAGAAAAGAAAAAAGGGAACCCAATAAGGCTCAAGAAGACCAAAAGAGGAACCATGTTGAGCTTTTTCGTGTATTCCCAAAGTACAGAGAAACCAGCATGAACTTCAAAAAGGCCTGAAGGGAAAGGGAGGTGAGAGAGGGAGGGAGAAAATATGGAATTGAAAAAGTTTTTTAAATGAGTGCTAAATCTGTCTTTACGTGTAATTGGGAAAAAAATAAATATTATTTAAAAAAATAAAAAAATAAAAGGCCTCAAGCCTATGTGCCCTCTGAACAGGGATGTGCCAGAAACACTTGAACAGACACAGCTATCACATGGCCTCAAGCCTGTGGATGCTCTAAACTGGGTTGCTCAGAGGGGGATGGACCCCACCTGACATCTCATGGATTTTGAATAGTGCCCATGCCAGGAAAGGTAGAAGCCAGTTGGGTACTGTTCTTGGCCTGCCTCCAGCAGCAGTTCTGAACAAAGACAGTCCCTATAGGTCATCACACAGTTGATAAGGTACGACAAAGCCTACCTCAGAACTCAGAAGGAATCAGCTTAATCATCTGACATATCTATTAGGTGGGGAGACTTTTAGTAAGCCTGAAACCACTATGATCATTTAAATCTGTATAGAGCCTTCCAAAGAAATAGCAAGAGGTAGAACTGAAATTCTGCAAAGAGATGGAGACAGAAAGGGGTGAAGGTCAAGACTCACATTGGGCTAAGAGGAAAGGCAAGGAAAGCCAGGGAGTAAAGCAATAAAGCTTCTTGGTCTTAGCCCAATCCAGAAACTGGAGGTAGAGACATAAACAAATACAAGAGAAATATAGGAAAGAAATATTATAGATTAAGAGAAGCCCAAGAGTTAAATCCAGAACAAGATAGGAACTCCACAAAAAATACAAATAAAGCCTCTGAGAAAAGAATGGTTGAGCCACAAAGACTTCAAAGATATATGGAAAGAATGAAGTATGAGACAAAAAAATGTTATTTAAATGGAAAGTAGATTTAAAAAAAAAGATCAGAAGGAGAATAAACAGATTATAATAGAAGCTGGAAATCCTTACAAAATGGACTCCCTGAAAACTAGAATGGCAAAAATAGAACACAATTCCACGAGATCACAAGAAATGCTAGTACAAAATCAAAAGACTGAAAAATGAGAAGAATGTGTAAGATATCTACTATCCAAAATAGCTGACATGGAAAACAGGCTAAAGGGAGATAATTTAAAAACCATGAGCAAATAAAAATACTAGGTTCCATCTGGATACCCTATGTCAAAAAACCCTGAAGGAAAATGGATTACATTTGTTGGAACCAAAGTGACAAGTGTAAAATTAAAGAATTCTATGGTCTTTTGATAGAAATGTTCAGTTGGAAAGTCCTGACAATAACATAAGCAAAACTCAGAACTTCTCAGTTCAAAGAAATAAAATGGTTCCTTTCAGGAAGGAAAGGTTAAAGTAGTTAGGCTCCAAATCAGGATCATATAAGATTATGTTTCAACTACTAAAAAGAAAAAAAAATCTGGGAATATAGCATTCCAAAAGTCCAAGGTAAAGGCTTACAATGAATAGCTTGCCCCATAAAACAGAATGTAATCTTAAAGCAGAAATAAAGAACCTTCAATAGAACACAGGAGTATTCCTGATGAAAGACCAGAGCTCCTAGAGTCTTAGAATCTCAAATACAAGAGATGGGAGATACCAAGAAAGGTAAATGCATTTGAGACATTAGAAGGGGATAAATGATGGTCAGCTAGGTGGCACAGTGGATAGAATGCTAGGCCTGAGTCTTCCTGACTTCAAATCTGGCCTCAGACACTTACTAGCTGTGTGACCCTGAGCATATCACTTAACCCCTTTTGCCTCAGTTTCCTAAACTATAAAATAAGCTGGAGAAGGAAATGACAAATCACTTCAGTATCTTTGCCAAAAATGAGTGAAGAATCCAGGAATACTCCTAGGTTGCAAGCCTGAGGTATTGGGAGGATGATATAATCCTCTACAATAATAGGGAAAGTAGGAAGTGGGCAGAGTTTAAGGGAAAAGATAATGAGTTCTCTTTTGGACATTTTGAGTTTAAGATATAACTGGAATCCAGTTGGAGATGTCTGAAAGGCAGTTGGAGATGTGAGATTGGTAGTCAGCAGAGAGATTGGAGCAGGAAAGGTAGATTTGAGAATCATCAACATAGAGATTATAATTAAATCCAAAGGAGCTGATGAGGTCACCAAGTGAAGTAGTACAGAGGGAGAAAAGAAGAGGGCCCAGGACAGAATCCTGAGGAACAGTTATGGTTAGAGGGTGTGATATGGAAAAAGATCTAGCAAAGAAAAGAGAGAGAAGGTATGGTCAGGTAGGATGAAAACCAGGAAAGAGTGGTATCCTAAAAACACAGAGAGAAGAGAATATCAGGGAATAGGGAGTGATCAACAGTGTCAAAAGCTACAGAAAGGTCAAGGAGAATGAGGAATGAGAAAAGGCCAATCTGACAACTAAGAGATCATTAATAACTTTGGAGAGAGCAGTTTCAGTGGAATTATAAAGTTGGAAGCCAGATTGTAAGGGGTTAAGAGGAGAGTGAGAAAAAAGAAAGTGGAGGCACCTATTGTAGATGGCCTCTTCAAGGAGTTTAGCTACAAATAGCCGAAGAAATATAGGATGATCATTATCAGGGATGGAAAGGTTTTTTTTTCAGGATAGGAGGGACATGGGTGTGTTTGTAGGCAATAAGCCAGTTGAAGGGAGAGATTGAATGTAAGTAATAGAGATGACAGAGGAGGCAGTAGACTGAAGGAGTAAGAATGGAATGGGATCACTTGAACAGGTAGAGGATTACAGTCAAGTTGAATTAGTTCACCAAGGAGTCAAGATAAGGAGAAAAGGAGAGAGTGGCTGTGCAGAGAAGATGGCTTGGAAGAGAATTGAGGGTCAGGGGTTTGGAAGTCATAGTGTGGATGAAAAGTAGGGTTGTGCAAGGGAAGGCAGAGAGAGAGAGGTAATAAGTCAATAGATTATGGTCTTCTAAAGGGATTTCAGAGTTCTTGAACATGGAAATGACACATTTGTAGGTGATATGACCATCTTTGTGTGTGGGGTGGAGGAGTAACTCATAGGTGAGTAGGTTGAGGAACTGAGTGGTTAGGGAATTTGAGGGAGAATCATTATGTATGTTGAAGTCTCCTAGTATGAGAGCAGGAGTTGGGGAAGAGAGAAAAATTGGAAGCCAGATATGAAACTCATAGAGGAAGGAAGAGGTCTTATCTACAGACTATAGCTACAAAGATTTAGATATGTGGTAGATATGTGATAGATTAAGATAGGTGATAGATCTGAATAGCTTGCACCTCAAAGGAAGAATGATGGAGAAAGGAGAGCCTGGAAGTGGCAATGGAGAGCAAGGAGTGTTCCAACTTCCTCTCCTTGACCAATGAGCTGAGGGGAACAAATGAAGGTGCCGCCTATACTGGAAAGGGTGGCTAGGGTGGCTGTGTTATTAGGGAAAATCCAGGTTTATTGAGAGCTAGTAGATGGAAGGAGTGGAAGAGGAATAGATTTAAGATGAGCAGAAATTTGTTGCCTATGGAACAGGCATTCTAGGGGACACAGTGGAAGGGCTGAATGGAAATAGGATGAAACTTTGGAGAGAGAGGGTTGAGGGGGATGGGAATAAAAAATAGGGAGGTGTGGAATGAGGTTTGCATGATGATGTATGGGAGTCCAGAGTCACCAGAGTATGAAAGGTATGACCAGATGTGAGAATGTTCATCATTGAGTGGAGGGTGCTGCTCTTCCACCCTCAAAAGATGGAAGATACCTTGTGCTGGTACAGATGGACGTGGTTGCTCTGGGGCAGATGGAAGATGCCCACTCTGGCACCAAGTAGCCTCTCCTCAGAGGACATCTTGGGCAGAGCAAGGAAGGCTCAGGGTGCTAGCACACCCACAGTCTGAGGTCTTTACACTTGAGGAGGCTGACTGGGAGGTGGCAGTGGGAAGTGATAGACTCCCTGTGCAGATAATTAGAATAGAAAAAAGAAGCTTTGCACAACAACAAGCCTGCTACAAGCATGAAAGTCATAGATTATTCATAGTAAATAATAGCTTCCTATACAGCACACATTATATACACAACAATTGATGTTGCATGGCCTCCTGGGAGCCACTTCTTTCATTTTCCTGGAAACACTATGAATAGCCCTACTCTTGGGAAAAATAGGCCTGATACTTTGTCTTTGGCATACTGAACTTGTGGAGAAGGCCAGACTAATTATCTTCCACAGATTGAATGTTCTGAAGTTTCTATGCTGAATCTGTAGATGGCAGAACCTCTAGGAATCACCCCTGTTCCATAGGAGCCTCCATACCTGGAATATTAGAAAATAAATGGATGATAATGACCAGGATCCTCCCTTTCCTCCCCAACTGAACATTTGTCCAGTGGGACTGGAGCATATTTGTTTGAATATCTTGACCTACTGGTGGGTATGAAATTTCAATTCTTCATCATGTGAATAATTTTTTCCTCCCATAGACTTAGGCACTTAGTGGCTCAGTGGGATAAGTGCTGGACTTGGGGTGAGGAAATTGTGGTTGTTATTTCAATTATGTCTGACTCTTTGTGTCCCCATTAGGGTTTTCTTGGCAAAGGTAGTGAAGTGGTTTGCCATTTCCTTCTCTAGCTCATTTTATAGATGAGAAAATTGAGGCAAACAAGGTTAAGTGACTTACCTTCCTTCTCTTCCTTAGAAGAGGAGTGGGCTTTGCCATCTCTCTTTAGCTTAGAGCCCAGTTTGAACTATTCTTCTTTCAGAATAACTGCAAATTACTCCACACATCCAGTCATCAGACTCAAGAAACATGGCTTTTTCTCAGCATCTACTACATGCTAGGCAGTGTGCAAAGTGCTGAGTATACAAAGAAGGGCAAAAGTTAGTCCTTGCCCTTAAGGAGCTCACAATCTAACTAGGGAAGACAATACATAAAAGGAAGTAGAAAAAGTGAAGGGAGAGGGAAGGGGTGCCTAGTAAAATGATGAAATGGCAGCCCTGGGTTACCTTCTTTAAATGGAAGATCTGGGAGGAATGCTTCACTCTCCACTGACCAATTACAGAGAGATGTTCCAGGGGTAGAGGGCAATGAAGAAGTGTGAATTTCAAAGTTGTGAAGATTCCAGAGGGACCAATGAAAGCTAGAAGAGTTCAACCAGGTGGGAAATGAAGAGAGGGAGGTTTATCACTCCTAGAGTTTAACCTCTAGGGGTCAAGCTCTTTTAGAACACAACAGATATGACCAGCTAATTAGGACATTCAGGCATTTGGTCTGCCTTTGAACCAACTTCCTCTTCTTAGCACAATTGATGTCTTTGTCTCAAGCCTTGATGTGCTCTAGAAAGTTTTATTTTCCTTGATTTGTTATTGCCAACCTATATCCTCCTCAACTAATTTTAAGCCCTGCCCTCCAAGTAAAAACACACACAGAAATTATCTGGGAAGGAGGTACCTTGATTTAACTTGGACCCAAATTCTCAACCAAAATCCTTTGAATCTTGCTATGGAAATGAATCTGAGCAGGCAAAAAAAGGTAAGCTAAGAGAAAAAGATTATTGTCTCTTTTCTGAGAAAGGGATTTATAATTTTCATATTGATCAATATGATATGTGTAATGAATATACTAATAATTTAGTTTTCTCAAGAGCTGCCTCTCTGGCTTGGGAGTCAGAGCTCACAATGCAGCTTAAACTGATTATTAAAACTTCAACCACACTCACAATCACTGGATCTTAAGTGAATCGAATCAAAGATTGTAGAACCTGTTCCTGTCACAGAATTCTGGTTCTGTACTTTAGAGGACGTGGTCATAATCCCCATAGACCTAACTCCAGAATTGTTGTATTGTGGGACTTATGGATGTCTAGTGGGAAACCACTAAATGACTGTTTGTAATCCACCTTCTCCCCATTCTCCCCCAGTTGTGATTTAAGTATATAACCTGTGTTTTTACTTCAGCTACGAGAACATTCCTCACTCTGAAACTGATTAATCAAACTACTTGATTACTGACACTCCTGTCTCTCCCAGCCTGCTTTGTGCCACTCCGAGCATTCTCAGGTTAGAGACTGGCTCAGAAAAATCCTGTTAACACTTCTGACACATATTTCTGTCTATTTGATATTTATGTGGCTGGCAATAGGTCATCCATGCCTTGATTTGACCTATATTTCTTAGAGCATGGTTTTAATCTGCAGATTCCCTGGAACTTTGGATAGAGGTACCTATTAGGGTCCAAGAGGGCCCCCTAAATTTGAGAAGTACAGCAGATGGAGTGTTCCAAGGAGATTCTAGGTTCTCTAACCCAGCGGTGAAAGGGTCTTCAGGGTTGGCTTGGCCCTTGATTTTGAAGACACTAGGCTCTAAATGGGGCAGCTAGGTGGCGAAGTACATACATTGCTGGGCCTGAGTTCAAATTCTAACTTAGACACTTACTAGCTGTGTGACTGTGGGCAAGTCACTTCTCAGTTTCCTCATCTGTAGGAAATGGCAAACCACTCCCAGTATCTTTCCCAAGAAAACCCCAAATGGCATGAGGAAGAATCAGATACAACTAATTGACTAAACCCCAACAACAGGTTCTCTAAACTAGTGGTGAGAGAATCTCACCTGAAGTCCAAACACCAGGGCCCCTCCTAGGAGCACTCAGCCTTCTCAACCCGCTATCATTTTGTCAACAAGTATGTGCCATGTGTTCTGCTAGGCACCTGATATCCCAAGAGGTCCAAGCTTTGGGAACCTTACATTCTAGGTGGAGGCAATGAATGTGTGGATGAACAAAGGGGGAAATATGACAACAACCCAGAGAGTGACAACCCGGAAGTTCACAGCAGACAAGTTGTAAGACTAGAGGGAGTAGTAGCGAATGAGTTAAAAAGTGAATAAAACATTCATTAAGTTCTATGTCCAAAGGAACTGCTGGGATACAAGTGGTTAAATCAAACAATTCCCTGCTCTTAAGCAGCTCACGATCTAACGGAGGAGACAAAACTTTGTGACTTCTTTTCTGTCCTTCAAGAGACTGGCACCAGCGGTGGAGGAGGGGAACTCGAGAGAGATCAGAACACCTTAGGGAGCCAGAGACAAAGGTGGGAATGGGGGAGGGGACAGGCAGGAAGGCAAATGGAGAGACACAGAGATAGAGAATGAGGGAGAGAGAAAGAGTGACAGTGAGAGAGCTAGAGATTGCAACTTGGCTTATAAGTACAAAAGTTCCAATAGGAACAGGTTCTAGGAACACCCTGGGTCTCCCTCCTCGAATCTCCCCCTTCCCCACTTAGACCTTTCCTGGTTTTGTGGAAAGCTGGGAGGATGCTTCTCCTCAAGAAATGTGAAGAAGCCAGGTGCGATAGTGTCCTGAGAACCACAGAAGTGTTAAGTTCTTTGAAGGTAGGATTTTGATTTCCAGCTGTGAAAGGTGTTAATTCTCCCTAGTCCCTCCCCTCTGGAGGCGGGGAGCCGGTAGCTGTCCACCCATTCCTGCCTCCCATTGGTTGCAATTCCATAGCTCCACCCACTCTGGATGCTTGATAAAGAAGCGTCTGCCTGATGCTAGTATTAGAAGGCAGAGGCAGGCGCAACATTTGGGTGAGTCAATCCAACAATCCTTCCTCTGATTCGCTTAAGCCAAGTGCACGTGGGAGAGCATCAGTTGTAGAACACTAGCAAGCAGCTTCGGGATGACTTTGAGAGCGCGGCTGGAAAGAATGCCCGAGATCCTGAGAAGCCTGGAAGAGGGACGCTTTATGTATGGCCTGGAAAGTCTTCAGGAAGGGGCTAGCTTCATCTCCAGCTGCATTCGGAGTCTGCAGCAAGACCAGCTTTCCAGCCAGGAAGAGGTCCAAGACACCTTTGGTCAGGTCAGATTCCTAGAGGCTTTGAGGAAGATCAGCGGGTCCCTCGGACGACTACGCCCCAGACTCCTGTGCAGGCTCCTGGACGACGTGGTAGATTGCTTGGATGATCTGGATGGTTTCGAGGATTCTGCCTCTATGTCCCGCACTCTAGCTAAGATTCAGAGCAGGCTGGAACAGCTGGCGGCTGCCCAGGTCCTGAGCCGACTTGGGGACTTGGCTGAGGTGGTGCAGGATATGCGCCCTCCAGAGGGCTTCCAGCCCCTTTCTTACCACCCCATCCTGGCCTCCCGCCTGCACAAGCTCTATATCCTGCCTGTTCTCGTTACCCTCGAAGAGGTCGTTGACATCATGTTCAGCCCAATGAACATCCAGCAGCTCCACTTGCTCCACCACTTTGTCCACCCACGCCAGACCTCACCAGCAGCTTAGATTGCCAATTCCTTTCACCTATAACCCACATAGCTCATGTTTCAGAACCTTCAAGGGATGCATCATTTTCTCCCGTGCTTCATCAATAGTCGAGTGGATTTCTGCATGTAAGTGCGTTTCTCGAAGATCTTGTTTCATTCTCTGGAAACAAATTCGAACCTCAATGATCTCTAAGGTTTTGACCCCTCTGGTTCCAGAGCAACAGCTGCTTCCAAAGCCAGAGACAGTTCTCCTTTTGAAAGTGCCCAACATGCTCTTGAAGAGGTTCTCCAAAATAGTAATAAGCAATAGATGCCTGCTGATTTTATCCCAATCATCCTGTTCCTCCAGCAACCAGCTGAAGATGAGGTCATACCATGCCATACCATATTTACTAAATGCCATTCACAATGCTGGCAAACTAACCTAACTGATGCTTCAAGACATGGTGAGGGAGGGACAGAAGGCAGTGTGTGTCAGGGAAGATGAACTCTCAACACCATCACTTTGGCCATCATTTAGCCTCCAACCCTGATGGAAAAAGCCCAAGACCCTTAACCCCTGAGCTTTGGGAGTAGCTGTGATGCCAACCCATTGCCCTCATGTGGACATGCAGCCTGGCAGCTACTCCTCAACATGCTCTACTCTTAACTACTGAAAACTCAGAAAAGAAGGATCTTAACACTGTGTCATGGTTAAATGTCAGAAAAGGATACAAATTTAATCCATTGAAATAACATCAAAGAAGTGTTAACATGCAGGTTTGCTGCTTCACGCTAAAACTCTGGAACTTTTGCATGTCACAGACAGCTGAAATATTGCAGAACTCTTGTCTCTCCTATTTAACTGTGAACTCCTTGAGAGCAGTGATTATGTCCCCAACATTTAGCACAGCCCTTTGCACAGTCAGTACTTAATAAATGTTTCATTCATTCATTTGTTTGTTCATTTTTCTTGTGTTATCCCCCCACTCTCCCCACTCCCAATACTAGATTTCTCTTTCCTGAAATACTTTTTGTAATTCGACCTCCCCCAAACTCAACCTAATTTCTCTGGCTATTACGAACATCACTTTTGCCTCTATCATGAATACAGTGAAAGCACAGTAAACTATATCTCCCTACATATTGCCTTTCATTATAATGGACTGAAGACAATTTTCCAACCAGGGGTTTGGATGCTTCTTACTTTGTTCTCTGGTGACACCATCCTGGAAAAGTCTGACAGAGGGAGACTGAGAGACAGAGATAGAAGGATAGATTACATTATGTTAACGTCATTGAATAATAAGAAACAGTGCTGTAAGAAACAATCAATATGATGAATATAGAGAAGTATGGAAGGACTTATACAACCTGAAGCAGAGTGAAATAAGCAAAGACTAGAAAACAAGATAAAGATTGACTACAGCCCTATCAGTGGAATGAATTGAACGACAAAACAAGTGAAATTTGCAAAATTCAAGGAACAGGCAGAATAGAAGACAACTTCCCTCTTTGAAAATGAGGGAAGTTCATGACTATGAAACATTATGCATATTTTTTGATGTTTCCAGTGTATTGACTATTTTTTTCCTTCACTGTGTTTTTCCCTCCTTTAAAATAATATTACTTATATGGGATGGCTTGAAGGAGAGGTGGAAACAAGGGTTAAATGCAAGTGATGTGGAAACTAAAGATGTCAAGAGAATTTATTTTACAAATAAAACAGATATGGGAGATGGGAAGAGCCAACATTTTAGCCAAGGATCAGGGTATATTGAGTTCAATTTTGGAGTGAAGATAACCTTCCTATAGGCAAGTGGAAAATAAGGTTAAGTTTGACTGGACCAAATAATGCATGGGAGGAAGTAGTGAAGAATAAGGCTAGAAAGGTAGGATGGGGTCAGTTTGTGAAGAGCTTAAAATTACAAACAGTGGAATTTATATTTGATCCTAGAAGCAAAAGAGAGTCATGGGAGAAGGGAGGAGAGAGAGGTGACATGGTTGGACAAAGTAAAAACATGTAAAACATTAAAGGGGGTATATGAAGAAACTATATTATGCTGAAAGGAACTATAGATAATAAACTACTATCAATATTAAGCTTACATGTTCCAAATACCTTAGCACCTAAATGCATAAATGAAATATTAATTGAGCCACAAGAAAACATAGTGATACAATAGTGCCAGGCTTTCAATTGCCTTTCGTAGTTTTGGATAAGTCTAAGAGAAAGATAAACAAAAGTTAAAAGAGCTGAATACATTGCTGGAAAAATTAGAGTCAAAAGACTTATAGTATCTTCTAAATGGGACTACAAAAATATACGTATGGAACTTTTGCAAAAATTTACCATGCATTTGGGCACAGAGATATTGCAAACAAATATTAAAAGGTAAAAATAACAAATAAACTATTTACAGACTATAATGCAATAAAAATAGTCATCTGTATAGGGACCACAAACAAAAGATACAGACCCAGATGGAGACTTAATAATGGCATACTAAATATGAGTGGATCAAAGAATAAATCATAGACAAAATTAATAAATTATGTGAGGAAAATTATAATGATGAAACAACATACCAAAATTTTTGGGTTGTAGCTAAAGCAGTTCTAGGGTGGGAGGGTATTACATCACTACAAACATGCATTAACAAAAATAGGAAAATAAGTTAATGAATGAATGTGCATTTTTTAAAAATCAGAGAGACAAAAAACCCCCCACAAATCCAAAATAAACACAAAAGACATTAAAACTTAGAAGAGAAATATATAAACTGGAAACCATAAAACTATAGAAATGATAAATAAAATGAAAAGCTACTTCTTTATAAGAACTAATAAAACTGATACACTTTTCACCAATCTGGTGAAAAAGAAGAGGACAGAGAAATCAAATCAACAAAATAAACAAATAAGGAGAAATTGTAAGAAAATAGAAGAAATTAAAAGAATAATTAGAACCTACTATGCAGTTGTATGCTAACAAAACTGAGAACACAAAACAGGAATATTGACAAAAATATAAAATATTCAAACCTACAAAAGGCTAAATAAGAAGACCACTATGACCTTTATCATGCCTGTCATCTGAAAATGCATCACCAGATAAATTTATCACCAAGAAATTCATCTTCATGGAAATTACTTCAGCTTTTCCACTCATCCCTCATTAGTACTCTCAGTTGCTTCTTTTTCTCTGATTGGAGCGTTGTAGGACAAAGCACAAAACTCCTCCCAGGGTCTCCCTTTATAGAGGGCTCAGAATGACAGCCATGTTTTCATTTGCCACCAACTGCTTTGTTTGCTTAATGGCTCAACCATCACCTACAGCATCACTTCTCTTTCTTGTATTTTTCATCTTTTTGTGCGTATTATCTTCTCCAATTTGTAAGCTATTGTG